GCCAGCAGAAGGACAAAGACACTGCCATTATTCACTCTCAGTACCAGCTGCAACACAGTAGGGAAAACAACAGGGAACTGGTAGAAGATCTGCTGTATGGATACTGGGCTGGGGACAGATAAGGACACTCCATTTTATACCTGAGTGGCCTAGGAATGGAATATGAGAAAATACAACAGGAGTCAGGCCCCTAAGTTTCAGGTAAGCATCTTTATTAAAAAGTGCAGTTTTGCTGCAGTGACTTGCTGTGGCTCCAGCACATCAAATGTTCAGCACAGGCCACAGGACAGTCCCAGTGCCCAGCAGAGACCTGCTGAGACACTCTCCAAGATGAGCATTGCACCAAGAAGCACCATCCTAGCACCTGGAGTGGGTCACTGCATATGTCAGGAAGGGGCACAGTGCTCAGAGTGACCTGTGTCAGTGAGCAGCATGCTGAGCCTGCTGGGACCAGTGCAGCCATCCTGTTCTAACTGGACGAGTTTATTGCTGTTAATTTAACATGAGTATTGACTCCAGGGAAGGTGCATTCCCACCCTGTCCCCGGTGGCACTCGAGCCTGCAAGCCAGGGAATCACCACCCAGCAACAGACTCTGCTGCTGGCCTTGGTAACATGCTAAATATAGCTGTATTTTCTGGCTCCTCACAAAATGGAAGGAGTCTGAAGGACCATATTCGTCAGCTTCCTTGCCAACTACAGCCAGGAGGGAAAAGCATATGGACAGCACTTTCCAAGTCTTGAAAAATGGGTATTAAAAATAAATCATTAAAAGATTTTATAAGAGTATCTTCTCCCCCTTTCTTCCCACACACTCCCCCACCCTTACAGTAGGCTGCTGGCATGTGATTGACTCTGTGTTGCCAACTTAAGTCATGCTGTGATGGCGCATACAAATGGCTGGCATCTGACACTAGCTAACATGACAGCAGCTTGCAGTGCAACAAAGCCAGCTGTTTCGAGTGCAGTACAGATGGCAGCACACTTAAATCCAGTAGAAAAACCTGCATTACACCTGGCTGTTTGGAGTCCACTGGGCTGCACCTTATCATCTGCAACCTAGCTCGCAGGGATGCAAGTAAGACCACACTGGGTATGGCACCAGGCTGGATGAACCTACCCTAAGTATGCTGCACAAATTCTCTTCTTGCTGGCCACTGAAGTGAGCCAAACTGTGCTGCAGAGACAAGTCTTCCAGCACAAACCCAAGGCTTGCTCATGTTTGCACCAGTAATGCAGTTTGTTACAGTCTCTCTAATCCTGGATGCCAGTGAGGGGTTCCAGAGCAGACGCACATTTCTGGTTTTAATGACTGCACTGTATGTCCCATCAATCACCAGCATTCTCATGTGAAAATCTTCAAGCTAATGTTGCTTTTCACACACGGGAGGCTGCAGTAGGCTTGTGCCCTGACTGTTCTGTCTTTTCCACAGACACTGATGACATGTGCAATGACTGACAGCAAAGAGAATGAAAAGAGACCAGGCGGGAAAGGATTTCCATGTTTTGCACAAAACCAGGCACCAAAACACAGCTTGTCTGCATAACTTTTCCCTGCATGAAGCAGCAGATTTCCACACCCCCAAGAGGAACTCAGTGGGGAAGCACACTCAGAGATGCGCTGGCCCAGCTTACTCAGTGCCCGTCGCTCCAGCACTGAGGCATGAAATGCTCTCTGCTTTCCATCATACTCAGCA